ATGAAGATCAGCACTTGACATTTCTTAGCTCCTACACCTGACACACTGCTGAAACTCCTCATGCTCTCCCTCTTCTTTTTCTCCGAGGAGAGTGTTCAACAAATCTCTCCATAAAGACACAAAGATACAAGATTTGGGCATCCAATATTTGCATGCTAGGAGAGGGGGAAAGGTGGAAGAAGTAGCAGGATATTGAGACAAAAACATGACACCACAGTCACTGCTGAATCCCAAGGAGTATAAAAAAACCTTTCCAAAAGCCAGTTTGCCATCACCAACCAAGGGGTATGTAGGGAGGACGTGGCAGCCACCACTCCTGTCCTCTGTGGCACATAGTCCTGGCCAGACCACTTGGACACACGTCTCTGTGCCTGTGGGTGTAAGTGTGCAGGTGGACACTAAGTAAACTTAGGAAGTTAAGTAAGATAGAATCACCATGCCTTTCCACAAGGTCTCGAGCTGAAGCAATAGGAGGTTTTAGTATGAGGCTTCTACCTATCACCATAAATACTTGGACACCTCTTAGGGCCAGCTGGTGATAAGGTGTATGAACAGCATCGAAACACTCCTTACATGACCAGGGGGTTACAACACACATTCAACACGTCACATTCGCAAGCTCCTGCTTTGTGAACGTCTGAACTATTTTACTGTAGCTTATGTTTCTGTATCAGCCTGTAACATGTTTAACAGAATACGTATTGATCAGTAGAAGGTAAAAATAATACTGACAAAACTAGCTTAATACAGTTACAGAAGAGTCACATCTGCATGAGCAATTAGACACTGAGCTGAGTCTCCCAGAACAGAACCAGGAATCGCTACTTTGAATAAAATAAAGGTAATAATAAAACTCCCATCTCCCTCTTACTGGAAAAAGCTGCCTATCAGTCTGAAGAGCACAGCTCTGTGGGACTTTCATTCAGGCCTCGGAGAGCTTTCCAGTGGATGAACTCCCAGAGCCTCGTCTAGGGGCAAGAACCGACTGGTCAAGAGCCTGAGTCAAGCCTGGGCTCCTCAACCATCCATGCGACATGGAGTTCTTCGCTGTCCCTTACACAACAGTTCCAACTTCCACGACAGCAGACCCCCAAACTGCATGGGCACTGCTGGCTGGCAGCAAGGAGAGCAGGGAGGCTCCGGCTCCTTCTGGGAATGCCTCCACACTCTAGAGCTGCCCACGTTTGTCTGCTCTCCCTGCAGTCCCAGCAGCCAAGCAGGCGTCTCTACTTAGTTACCCCAGGCTGATAGCAATGCCCTTCAATCAGTCACTGCTGGTTCCCCATATCAAGAACTGGCACTCCAAGCTGCAGCCACTTACTGGTAACTAGAAGTTATCAGCAACTGGAGATTAAGATGTGCTATCCACACACAGGCACGACTTTCATCAGGCACTAAAATGATAAAGAGTCTTTTTTGCCTCAGCAATACCCATTTTCCACGTTCTTACTGTGGGACTCTTCCCACCTTTGCTTGAACATAGCACAAAAGGAGAAGCCAATTCTATTCCTTTCCTTTCTTCTAAATATACAAATCCCAAATAAGGGAAAAAAAATTATAGAATTCATGGTAAGGGGAGACATTTTCCTACAGACAACTCATCTGTAAGACCTCCCATCACTGGCAAGAAGCCTTTCTGTGTGCCTGACCCTATGACTTTATGCTGAGGGTATCCTGAAGCAGTACCACACAACCTGAACCAGTTACCCAGAGAAAGCAGACGGTCAGATGGTGACATGTGAGCTATGTATGGAGAGCTGTGGGTGGCAGGCTCCCTCCTGGCTGCTGTCACTCCTTCAGTGCCTG